CCCCAGTGAAATGTTTTCTGTTATGAGAGTTGCCGTGGTCATGGTGTCTTTTCACAGCAATGGAAACCCTAACTAAGACAGTGGCACAAACCTACAGTCCTGGTATTCTGGGTGCTGAGAGTTTATGTCCAGCTTGGGCTACAGGACAAGATGCTGTCTTGTAAGGGCTGGTGAGGTACTTCAGAGGCGGCATGCCTTCTTAGTATTCACAAGGCCTTCAATTTGATTTTTACCGCAAAATATAAAATAAATCTTCAATCACTAGAAATCAGAAGCAGACTTCCTTTTCAGTTACTTTAATGCTTAGCCTAAGCATGTTTTCCATAACCATTCATAGATAAGAACTTTCCCTTCCCAACCAGGTAGGGGAGAGCATCTGGGGCTGCTGGGAACAGCTCCAGGGGACTGCTGGGGAGAGCATCAGGGGTTGCTGGGGAGAGCATCAGGGGTTGCTGGGAGGAGCACCAGGGGCTGCTGGGGGAGCATCAGGGGTTGCTGAGGGGAGAGCACCAGGAGGCTGCTGGGGGAGAGCACCAGGGGGCTGGTGGGGGAGAGCACCAGGGGCTGCTGGGAACAGCACTGGGGGATGCTGGGGAGAGCACCAGGGGGATGCTGGGGGAGAGTACCTGCTGGGGATGTCTTTCTGTATGCTGTGAATGTGTTGATCTAATTGATTGATAAATAAAATGCTGATTGGCCAGTAGCCAGGCAGGAAGTATAGTATAGGTGGGATAAGGAGAAAGGAGAATTCTGGGAGGTAGAAGGCTGAGTCAGGAGCCGCTGCCAGCCGCTGCCATGAGAAGCAAGATGTAAAGATACTGGTAAGCCATGAGCCACGTGGCAAGGTATAGATTTATAGAAATGGGTTAATTTGAGATATAAAAACTAGATAGCAAGAAGCCTGCCATGGCCATACAGTTTATAAGTAATATAAGTCTCTGTGTGTTTAATTGGGTCTGAGCGGCTGCGGGCCCAAACTCCAGCTACAAGCACCAGGGGCTGCTGTCTCCTGAGGGTGGTCTTCTCTTGTATCCAAACCCACTTCTCTACTAGGAGACTTCTGTCCACTCACACACTCTTAGGATCCCCAGCAACAGCCTGGTGGAGGGCAGTGGAAGGTGGAGGGGACATCTCTATTGACTGGCCTGTGCCCTACTGTAACATCCTGAAAAGTGCAACTCCCCTTTCCCTTCCGCTGCTCCTTCTGCATTGTTAACACCCTCTCACTAGAAAAGCTGAGCCACAGGGCCGTTCTTCCTAAGTGCCTCACTTCCTGTGGACACTGAGGATGGAGCGCCAACTAGCCAAGATGTCCTCCCAGGTGCTATGGGTGATGCCGAATGTGAGGGAAACTTTGTCTCAGTGATAATGGAGATGAAACAAAGCCAAAGCGTAACAACACTCAGACAGGACCTTCACCGTAAGCCTTTCCCCAAGAAGCAGCTTAGCTCACCTGGCTTGTTGGGATGAAAGAACCCAGCACTGAGTCAGACCAATCTTGGACAACAGAGGCAAAGGTGAAACTCTTGTCCATGTGCAGTGGGCCAAACTCAGAGTGTGTGTGTGTCTTTGGGCAGTGAACTGCTGGGCCTGTTGGCTCTGTAGCACTGGTTGTCCTGGACCTCACTCTGTAGACCAGGCTAGCCTCAAACTCACAGAGATCTGCTTGCCCAGCTCCGGGTATGGCTTTAAGAGATGCTTTTCCTTGTGTGTATATCCTGATTTCAACAGACCTGGTACTGTGGCATTTGGTGTCTGCTCGAGTTTGTTGTGATAAAATGTTCTGACCAAAATCAAGTGGCAGAGGAAAGTGTTGATTTGGCTTCAGTTTCAGGGCAGAGCTTCAGTGAGAGAAGTCAGGACAGGAACTCAGGGCAGGAGCTTCTGGTAGGTACCATGCAAGGGTTGGGGCTGTGGGAGGGATGGGCTCTCAAATTCCTGCTGCCCCCTCTTCCTTCTGGTTCCAAAGAGCTGATCAAAGCCTCAGATTTGAGCTGTTAAGTGTGGTGGTCACCAGCCAAGTGTGGGTACTCAGCCCTAGGAATGTAGCCAGAGCTGTAACATGATGTAAACATAAAACACCACCATTCTAAAGACTTTTGATAAAAGAAAATAAAAACATAAACATCATTAATTTTTTAAAAAAAAAGGTGCAGTAAGGCCCAGAGAAATGCTTAGTGGTGATAAGCGGTGCTGCTCTTGCAATGGACCCCAGTTTGGTTCCCAGCATCTGTAGTGGCATTCCTGCTGAGCTCCTGGCTTGGCTACAGAGAGCAGCACCTAGCCCTAATCCTTCCTTTGTTTAACCACACCTTTTGTTTCTCTTATCTTTTGTTTCTCTTATCACCCTATGTAAATCTTGTTTGAGAGTCAAGGATCAGAGAGTCCCCCAAGGATCAAAAGCCTATACAAAACTTGGTCCAGGAAACCCGGAAAACCGAGGTACCTGATAAATCAAGTAATTTGCACCTGGCAGTTGGTCTCTGGGAGCTCCTTTTGGGTTGCTTTGAAGGTGCAGAGATGAACTGTCTAAACTGTAAAATGGAGTAAATAAATATGCTCTAGGCGAAGGGTGAGTGCTTCAGTCCTTCGAGGCTGGACCCCCCTGCAGCCATGATAGGCTAGATTCACTCTTAAGATGCCTCTGTGTCTTCATTCCACGGACCCGCATGAACCCACACACTGGTGTAGCGACCACACAGCTACAAGCATCCATGTCTTATGCCCCTAACTCCAACTCTGGGGGATCCAACACCCTCTTCGGGCATCTGCATTCACCTGCACACTTCTGGCACACACACACACACACACACACACACACACACACACACACACACGTAAATAAAAGGAGCAGGTGAGATAAATCAGCTGGGAAAGGCACTTGCTGCCAAGCCTGACGATCTGAGGTCCTTGGAAGCCAAGCAGCTGAAGGAGAAAACCAATTCCCACAAATTGTCCACTGACTCCCCTACAGGTGCACACATGGGTGCAAATGTGCGCACACACAGCACACTCACACATACACAGCTGCACATGCACACACATACATACACTCACACCCGTGCACATACACCTGCCCACTAAATGAATAAACAAATGTAAAAGTTAAAAACAGGTGGACCTGGTGACGCAGGCCTATAATCCCAGCTAATCAGGAGGCTGAGGCAGGAGGATTGCAAATTCACAACCTTTCTGGTTGAACTTCTCTGTGTTACAGAGTGAGTTGAAGGGCAGCCTGGTTAATTTAGTGAGAGCTGTCTCAAAACTAAAAGTTTAAAAGAGGGTTGGGGTGGAGCTTAGCGATAAAGCAGTCACCTAGCGGGGATGAAGCTTTTAGTACTGGTCTAGTTTCCAGGATGCAAAAAGGAACAAAACCAAACCAAACCATATGCTGCCATGCTGTATCAGTTGCTTTTCTCGTTGCTCTATAAAATACCCTGACAAAAGCCGGTGAAGTGGGGAGGGGGTTGCTCGGGCTCACAGGCTGAGTGTACAGCCATCATGGGAGGGAGGTCGTGGTGGCAGGAGCTTGAGGTGGCTGGTCACACTGAACTCAGAGCTAGGATACAGAGGACAACGATTGCTGCTGCTCAGTTTGCTCTCTCCTGATTGTCCAGTTCCGGACCCCAGACTACAGAACGGTGCTGCCCACACCATTCACTGCCTGTAAAGGTGGCTTTTCTCATCTCATTTAATGCAATCTAGATAATTCTTTTACAGACATGCCCAGTGGCTAACCTAACCTACCTGTCCCTTACAGGTGTGCCTAGGGTTTTGTCTTCTAGGTGATTCTGGATCCTGTCAAGTTGGCAATATTAACCATTACAATGTTGGCATGATATTTTGGTTACAGTGTTGAGTTCATATGATACATTATGAGAATTAAATCTATTTTTTTTTTGCCTTTAAAAAACGATTAAACAATTTTACGTGCATGAGTGTTTTACCTGAATGTAGTACCATGTGTACCACATACACACAGTGTTCACAGTGGCCAGAAGAGGGCATCAGATCCCCTGGAACTGGCATTAGAGATACGACATAGGTGCCTCATGTGAAGACTGAACTGAACCCAGATCCTCTGCAAGCGCTTTTAGCCACTGAGCCATATCTCCAGCCCAGACTATCTTTTGTTTTTTAAGAGTCATTCTTAAAAAATGTAAAGTTAGGGCTGGGCATGGTGGCTCATTCCTTAACACAGCATTTTTTCGGGGGGTGGTGAGGTGTGTCTGTAGGAGTGCATCTCTCAGTGTATCCCAGCAACAACATCCCACTGTTCCCTTCCGTCACAGAGACCCATAATGTTCAATCTCAGAACCCTATGAGTATCTCCTAAGTGTGGAATATGGTATCCATCCATCCTCTAGGACCCCCATTTCCCTCAAGGTTGCACAGGACAAGTCTGGATGTTCCTTTTCTCATGACCTAGTGAGCCTCTGGAATCTTCCAGTGGAGTTCCTTCTTCAGACTCAAGGGCAGGGCTGCTGTAAGGCCAAGAGCCACACCTGACCCAGGATCCAGGCAGAGTTTGCGAGTGTGAGGACTTGGAGATGTGAGCCCCTTCCCAGACATCTGTCTGTCATCTCCGCTGCTTGGATCAGGTCTCTTCTGGCTAAGGGAATCTCTCCATCTGCCAAACCTTGAGATTTTTAGGAAGACGTTTAGTAAAGCATTCATTCTTTGTCCACTTCTCTGGGCTCCTCATCTTCTCACCTTCATATTCCAGCCTCAAACCATTACCTACAGCTCCGAGTGGTGGTTTTGAAGAAACGTGACTGTAACTCATCATTTGTTCCTTTGTGGCACCACTGATCCAGGTGCTATGGAATCAGTAGTGAATAGGTTAGATCTGCTTCAGAACAAAAAAAAAGGAAATAAGGTTTCCTTCTAAACCCCCGCCGCTATTACAAATTGCGTCCAAGCAGTTGTTGGCCTCCTCTCCTCCAAGGGGCGCTGGAGTTCCCGCCAGTCGGAATTGCCGCTCTAGGCTGCAGCACGCTTCAGTACCTGCACTTCCGCCGGCGCCCATCGTGAAGAGGGAAAGTTCCTGTCGCGTGTATGTGGTTCTCGTCTGGCTAGTGCCATCCGTCGAAATCTGCAGGCATCTTGCACGCTCTCGGTCTGTCTGCTTCTCTGCCCAGTGCAGGGCGCTCAGGTAAGTGCAACGGGGTGCGTGGGCAGCGCCGTTCCCTCCACCGGGGAAACTGAGGCCGGCGAGCAGTCAGTGGACAGTGGACCAGGATCTGGAGGAGGAGGGCGCCGAGCCCTTGTGTTCCAGTCCTCCACCTTTGAGTTGTGGTGTCTGAAGCACCAGAGCCATGTCTGTCGCCTACAAAGTCAGTCGTTGTTTACGACCTGTGTCCCATGCTTTTAGAACCCTTTCAAGGCGAACCTGTGGACCAGGGTTTTAGTTGAGGACCCTCCCAGGACCCAGGGCGCGGCGTCTGGATCCCTGTGCCCTGCCTTGCACTGCAACCCTTGCCTTGTGCTTTCCTGCCCGGCCTGGAGACCGATGGAAGCACCTTGGATCGGCAGATTACACCTGCAGCAGCTGGGGGCCCCTACTCTCTTCAACTCCATGGTGGGCGTCCCCTGCCCAGGGAGAGGATGCCTGGGTAAGTGCTGCTACTCTGGAGCAACGTGAAGCACAGATGCCTCTAAGTTGCCTTCAGGTGGGCACCAGCAGAGTGGTGTGGAGTTCAGATGGCTCTTGGGAAAGGCCTGGCAAAACCACTGTGCAGAGAGAAGCCTGGTGGGGGCCAGAAAGGCCAAAGACCAGATGGTTGATGTTAAGTTTCAAACCTGGGACAAACAGCTGTGGTGCCTGTTTAACACCTCAAAGCAGACCTGGCCTCCAGGTTTTTCCCAGCATTCCTCAGTCCCTGTTACAGGGTGTGGCTGGCATACCCTACCCTCTACCCTGAACTCTCCAGTCCAGGGGCTGGACCGCCCTTCCCCCAGAGGCTCTTCCCTGTATTATCCAGACATTTTGGTTACCTGCCCTTATTGGAGCTTTGGCCTCCTAGCTGCTGACCTGGTTCCCCTCCCCTCCCCCTCCCACATGGCCCAGCTCAGTCTGGTCATGTCCACTCTGGGCTCTCCCAGATCTCCCTGCCTCTGACCATGCTCTCCCACGTAGCTATAATAAACTCTCCTCCTCCATATCTAGGGACAGTCATGTTCTTTCCTTTTCTTTCTTTAAGTTTTTTATTCAGTTATTAAGCCACAGACAGACAGACAACAGAATGGCAAGACTCTGGGGGACAGTTCAGGTCCATATTGCACAGTGGGAGTCTCTTCTACCTTTCAAAGGAAATGGAGAGGAGAGTCCATGCCACGTGGCTTGCTGACTGGCAGCTTCTGTGTCTGGTATTCTCTGTGCTTCCCGGGTAACTGGGTGCTATTCAGGTGGCTCTCTGGACTTGTTGTTTGCAGAAATAACAGCTTGGGTGCACAGCGGCCATGAGAGGTGTCTCCATCCTGCCAGACTGATGGACCATGGCGCTCCTGAGTGAGGATTGTCCCCTGGCATCTGGAGCTCTGTCCCACAAGGATATTTGCGGTTTCCCCAGTTGCATTTGGCAGTGCGTGAAGGTGAGAGAGGCTGAGTTCATCACATCCACATTTCCCCTCCTTGGGGGCTTTGAAGTAAGCCTGCTTCTTGCTGAACCCACTTAGGATCTGTGTCCTCGGTCCCCCTGTCCCCACTTTACTTGGTTGTCAGCAGGAAGGATTTGGGGGTCATCCACTACCCATATCTCAGTCACTGCTCTCTGCCGGCTTCTGGACTGTCTCGGGTCCTTGGTTTTCTCATCTGAAAATGGGGGCTACTGGTCCCTGTCTCTGTGACATGAGGGTTCTCTTACCTTCAGCTCTCCTGGCTGGGCAGATTGTGTTTATATAAGAAGTGATGGGAAGCGGCAGTGGTGGCGGATGCCTTTAATTCCAGCACTCGGGAGGCAGAGGCAGGTGGATCTCCGTGAGTTCGAGGCCAGCCAGGTCTACAGAGCAAGTTCCAAGACAGGCTCTAAAGCTACACAGAATCCCTGTCTCCAGAAAAAAAAGGAAGTGCTGGGGCTGCTGCAGGTCCTTCTGAGCTTGCCTTAAGGAGCCATACTGCTCAGTCAGAAGCGACTCCTTTCCTCTCTATAGCAAATCTGGCTGCTGCCGTCTGTCTGTCCTTTTCCAGTGTAGCCATTTCCCAGCTTGGTGGCCATGGCCTTCCCTCTCAACATGCCCACTGCTCTCTGTGCCCCTGTATTCGAAAGTGATCATGGGCTGCCTGTGCCCTGGTCATTGATAGTGCAGGGAGAGGATGCCGAAAGCCTTTCCCCGTGTTTGGAGGATCCACACCTGTCCTTGCCAGACCCTGGTGCTTTCCCACACCATATCCTGCCTGTCATCCTGGCACTTCTGCATCGGCAGGGCATGGAGCTCAGACAGTGCTCTCTTCCTTCAGAAGCTTTCTCAGCCTCCACACCCATTGTCACCTCCTAGGACACTTGAGACCTGGAAGGAAGTGTTACCTTGCTTGACCCTTAGCATGCATGCTGCTGTGTTCTGTCAGTCAAGAGTCGGGGTTCTGAGGTGGGCGGTGGTGGTGCACGCCTTTAATCCCAGCACTCGAGAGGCAGAGCCATGTGGATCTTTGTGAGTTCGAGGCCAGCCTGGGCTACCAAGTGAGTTCCAGGAAAGGCACAAAGCTACACAGAGAAACCCTGTCTCGAAAAACCAAAAAAAAAAAGAGTCAGGGTTCTGACTGGAACGCATGAAGGACAGAGGGCAGGTACTCACTGTGAGGCACTGTTGCCTGTAAACTGAGTAAGCAGCCTGCACAGACAGCTTCAGGAGGAAGCACATCTGCTCCTCTCCCTCCTTGAGGAATCCTTCCCTTGTGGCCTACTTTAGATCACTGCCTTGGGTAGCCACTCGGAAGGGTTTTCCTCTCCACCCCGTGGGAACAGGCAAGAACGAGAAGTGGACAACACCGAATAATTGACGTGTCTGTGCTACCCTTCCTGCCAGGTCCGTGCCCAGTGCCACTAGAGGACAGTATATGCCAGAGTGCCGTGGCCCTGGTGTGCTCTTGAGCAGCCCACCCAGCAGAGCATCATCAGGCTTGTCTCCAAAGAGCTCCAGTCTCTCCCCCAGGTAAGATGTGAGTCCGTTGTGGCTGCTCAGGTGATCATAGCAGGTCGGGCAGGTACTCAACACTGTGTTCAGAAAGGCCTGCTCAGGGTGTCAGTGCGTGAGAGAATCCAAAGCTGGCTCTGTCCAGCCTGGATCTTCATTCAGCCTGGAGCTCCTGGAGTTGTGTAGTTATCTCTGCTGCTTTGGTGACTGTGTAGGGGAGGTGAGGATGAGAAGTGGGGGGTGATGTGGATTCTTCCAAAACCTGGATCATACCTGGCACCTCCAGAGCCCTGCTAAGAGAGCTTAGAGCCTCTCCATTGTTAGTGAGTTGTAAGGGAAGAGAAGAGCATTGAAGACGCCTGTGTTGTCCACCATTTCCCTCTGACCTTGCTCTTTGTCATTGCACTGGGTAGCAGTGACTTGTCAGCAGTGCGGGAAAAGTACTTAGCTGGCCGATGAGGGAAAGGAAGGGCTAAGGGTAGTGTGGAGCACCTGCCCTGGCTTCCTGAGCACCCTCCCTCAGCATCAGAGAGCAGAATCCATTTCTCCCCGGGCCACATGTGGGCCTTGCTTCCCCCTGGGAAGCTGTATCTCGGTGGCTGTGGTTTTTCTGGTCCTGGTCACATAAGCACCAACTGTCCAGTGTGACTAGTAGTCCAACCTCACTGGCAGAGAGCAGGGGCTCAGCCTAGACATGCTGTCTACCTTGAGCCCCCAGCCGGTGACCAGCTGATACCTAGCTAGTCCCCAGTCCCCACCAGAGGCAGTCTCACCTCTTTTGAACCTCCATTTGCTGGCTTGGAAAACCAAAGCCATCACAAGATTTTCATGGACATGAGTTCACAGGACTGACTTCAGCCCCAACAGGTTCTGATAGTTGTGTCTGTTGAGTATCCCTTGTTCTCCTGGGCAGATGGATGTGGGTCTATGCGGTTGATGTTAGCACAGGACCCATGTGTTCACTGTGGCTTGTATCTGGCCCTGGCATAAGTCTCGTGTCTTTCCTAGGTCTCCTTTTGTCTTTTTCTGCCCCTGCATTCGAAAGTGATCTCAGCTGCCTGTGCTCTGGTCATTGGTAGTGCAGGGAAAGGATGCTGAAAGATGTGTTCCTGGGTTTGGGGAGTCTATCCTGACCCCTCAAAGGCCTGGAGCTTTCCTACACTCTGCAACCGTATAGCAGTGTATTGCTTTCTGGAAGCTACAAACAAGTCTGGGTCTTTGAAGCTTGATGTCCTGTTTCTAGAAACTGGTGAGGTGATAGGCCAGTACAGATTTCCAAAGAGCCACATCTGAAGGCATCGTGCCTAGACAGGTTCCTAAAGTTCTCACACGGGGGCAGAGGGGAGATAATGGGAGGGACACAGATTGAGTGAGCAGAGCTATGTGTATGGCAGGCATGGGATAGAACATGTAATAAGAGTCCTTAGGTGTGTGTTGAGAGAAGGGGAGCTTCCTGGTACAGTGTGCAGCTCACTCCCTTGCATTGTGTGGCCTGCAGTATGTGTTGGCATCACTTGTGAGCCACAGTTCTTAGCCATTTTTTTCTTCTGCCAATTGTCTAGCCCTTTGGAACTTTCTTTAAAATGCATGGTTTGCAGACCAAAATACAATTTACATTCTTTTTGTTTATGTGTATGTGTGAATGCACATGTATTTATACCATATATGTGCCTAGTGCCCATGAAGAATTTATTGGGGAATTAGAGTTTGAGAGGGTGAGTCCATGACCAGCATGAAGGCAGGCAGATAGGCATGGCCATGCCGGAGCAGTAGCTAAGAGCTGCTTGAGACACATTTCAAATCTTGGGACACAACCACCAGGCCGAGAGCTGACTGGGCATGGCAAGGGCTTTTGAAACCTCAAAGCCTCGCTTGCCACTACACCTCCTTATCTTTCCTAAAGAGTTTTACCAACTAGGAATATTTATTCAACTATATGAGCTATGGGGTCATTCTCATTCAAACTCCCACACACATCCAAACTGCTTCTTACCAAAACTAAAAGCGGGAAAACCAATATTTTTTTTTTTTATCAGAAGTTACAATGTATTCAATATAGGGAAAGAAATAAACCCATAGCCCTGAGCCAAGACTCAGCCTTCACCTGTGGAGGATGGGTACAGTCAGCAGGTAAAGTATGAAAGGAGGAGGCTGAGAATGTGTCTCAGAGGCAAAGCACTGGTGTGTTGAGTGTGAGGCCTTGAGTTGAGTACCCAGCGTGGAGAAAGGCTCCAGGAAGAAGTTGTTGCAGCCACCTTGTAGCACACGCGCGCCCCCCCCCCCCCCCCCCACTAGTTTTATCTTGGTTCCTGTTAAACGTCTTGGTTAACTATGAGGTACTGATTGTGGCTTGTCTCTGTAGGATTGTCAGCTGATCTTTGCTGTGTCTGTCAGTGGTCCTCGTGTTTCAAGAAGCAGCTGAAACAGGATCCTTGCCAGGTATGAATTCCAGATGCTTCACTAGAGAGCAACAGTAGTCTAGGAAATGCCTCAGCCATGAGGAAAAGCAGAGGCTGCTTCCTATTGCTGCTTCCCCGCCCAGGCCAGCAGGGACATGCCTCCCCATGTCACCTCACTATTTCTGTACATCTTTGTAGTGGGAAGTGGGTACTTACAGAGCCACTCTGGAGTATGGAGCCCCTGGGAAGTCGTGTGCCCCTCAGTTCATTGGGGGGTACAGACAACTTTCTCTGAACTGTGGTGGGGTACTTGTTAGGAAGCAGTGCCGTCCTAGACTTCCTGACCAAGTGAGTCTTCAGAAGTGCCCCCAAGTTTGTCCTTTCCCTCAGTCTATCCACTAGGAGACCATCACAGTAATGGATCTCAAATTGTGGTTTCTGAAGCAAGCACTGCCCTTCACCTTGGACATGTAAAAGGTCATGCCTGGAGTCAGCGGTATTTAGCAGGCTCTCTGGGGTTCCTAGCAGTGCTGTGTTTGAGAAGCTTGGGGAATTGGGAAGCTACTTCATTTAGGGGCTGTAAATATGATCACTGTTTCCTGGCCACTTATCCCAGCGTGGCCCTTTCCTAAGCTGCCCATCGTGGCTTCCCTTCTGCCCCTGTATTCGAAAGTGATCATGGGCTGCCTGTGCCCTGGTCATTGATAGTGCAGGGAGAGGATGCCGAAAGCCTTTCCCCGTGTTTGGAGGATCCACACCTGTCCTTGCCAAACCCTGGTGCTTTCGAACAAATCTTCCTTCCTTCTCGCAGCCTCTTGGTCCCCTGGCTGCTGGCACCAGGATCACTGAGTGCTCTCTACCAGCGCTGGGCAGTGTCCAGAGGCTTATGGAAGAGAAAGGTAGAAAGCAGGACTCTACCTTGAGGGGTTTTATTCTGGCTCAGTTTTGCAAGTATCCCATGAGCCGCAGTCACATCCTCTTGTGGAACAGTGTTTCCTGCCTTCCATGGCTGCAGAAGGGAATCTTCCAGAAGCCTGTGTGGTAGAAGGCTGGCTGTACTGTTCACTGTCAGGAAATGGGTAAACTTGGGCTCAGGGACTCTGGTCCCCTCTGAGCCTGTCTCTCTCTGACCTGCTTTTAGCCTCCAGTTAGCTAACAGTGAGAGGCTCAGTGGTTACGTAGGTAGTGATTCAAAGCATTGTTCTCATTTTTTTTTTAATTTTTAATTCTCTAGGTGTGGACACCAGAGGGCCAGGGAGTAGACAGCAAGACTACCACTTGAAGTGAAACTAGAGACTGCCCATTCGGAGCATCATGAAACATCTTTTTATTATGTTTAGTAATTGGCTCAGGCATGGGAGACTCCAGCATACAAGGTCTTAACACCAACACCTCAGAGGACTGTGTCCTGTCTCCAAGTCCATCTGCTAGTGCCTGGAAGGACTAGTGACAAGAGCTTTTCTGTTGAACTTGTTGCCAACTGTGCAATAAATAAACCTGATAGATGAATTCATCCTGCCTTTTAAATCTGTGTCAACCCCAGGAGCTTACAGGGCTGGGTGTGGAAAAGGAGGGCTGAAGGGCAGCTCCTATCACTCCTTTCCTGTTCTTGATGTTCTCATGAGGCTTGGCTTTGGGGTGTTGGAAGTGGATAGGTAGGGCTGGTAGCCTTTATACATTTAGGACTTGTGAGAGTTGAGAGGTTGCTGAACAGTCAAGGTCAGGGCTTTGGGAAGGTGCCTGTGTCAGGGTGCTTTATGGCGTGAGGTTGGTCCTGTGTCAGTAAAGAAGGCTAGGGTGTCCCAGAGCTCTAAGACCAGTTGAGGGGCATCCTAGGAAGTGAGACCTCGTTGCTAAAATTAGGGAGGTGAATGGGCAAACAGACTGGGATGTAAAATGCATGGCATCCTGACATCAATTACTGTAGAAAGGTGGGAGTGGTTGCCATGGCAACTGGGGTATGCTTGCTTGGAGGCCCTTAAGGTACCAAAGTGCTCCCACTGGGTGAAATGCCAGGTGGGATGGAGGAGGAGAAGCCCTTTTGATAACCATTGGGTACCAACAGGGCCAAAAGAACAACAATGGCAAAAAATGGAAGGGTGTAATTGCTGATAGGTTGTGACTAGGTCTTTACTGTTTAAGAAGTTAGGGACCCGTGGGATGGCTTACTGGATGATCGTGCTTGCTGAGTTTGATTCCCAGAACACAAACATGCAAACAAATAGTAAATTTAAAAAGTTGTACATTTTTCTTATTTGAAGAGAATTTCTTTTTTTTTTTTTTCTTTTGCAATACAATTTAGTTCTACATATCAGCCACGGATTCCCTTGTTCTCCCCACTCCCGTCCCCCTCACCTTCCCCCCAGCCCCCCCCCATTCCCATCTCCTCCAGGGCAAAGCCTTCCCCACAGACTGAGATCAACCTGGTAGACTCAGTCCAGGTAGGTCCAGTCCCCTCCTCCCAGGCCAAGCCAAGCAATCCTGCATAGGCCCCAGGTTTCAAACAGCCAACTCATGCAATGAGCACAGGACCCAGTCCCACTGCCTGGATGCCCCCCAAACAGATCAAGCCAATCAACTGTCTCACCCATTCAGAGGGCCTGATCCAGTGGGGACCCCTCAGCCATTGGTTCATAGTTCATGTGTTTCCATTCATTTGGCTATTTGTCCCTGTGCTTTATCCAACCTTGGTCTCAACAATTCTCGCTCATATAAACCCTCCTCATTCTCGCTAATTGGACTCCCAGAGATCCACCCAGGGCCTAGTCATGGATCTCTGCATCCAGATCCCTCAGTAGTTGGATGAGGTTTCTAGCACGACAATTAGGGTGTTTGGCCATCCCATCACCAGAGTAGGTCAGTTCGGGCTGTCTCTCAACCATTGCCAGCAGTCTGTTGTGTGGGTGTCTTTGTGGATTTCTGTGGGCCTCTCTAGCACTTTGCTTCTTCCTATTCTCATGTGGTCTTCATTTACCATGGTCTCCTATTCCTTGTTCTCCCTCTCTGTTGTTGATCCAGCTGGGATCTCCCGCTCCCCCAAGCTCTCTTTCCCTCGACCCTCACCTTTCACTACCCCCACTCATGTCCAGGCTGTTCATGTAGATCTCATTCCATTTCTCTGTCATTGGGCGATCCCCATGTCTTTCTTGGGGTCCTGTTTTCCAGGTAGCCTCCCTGGTGATGTGATGAAGAGAATTTCTAAATACTGATTTTAGCTTTTAAATTATATCTATGGATGGAGATCTGCCTGTGAATGCAGTTGCTCACAGAGACTTGAAGAGGGCATATGATGTCCTAGACTGGCTTTATAGGTGGTCTGTCATGAATGCTAGGAACTGAACTTGGGTCCTCTGCAAGAGCAGTACTCACTCTTAACTAATGAGGCATCTGTCCAGGCTCACCATGAAGAGAGTTTATAAGTCTCAGCCTGTTTTCAGTCTGTAGGTGTGGACGGTTAAGATGCTCCAGGGGTTGTGGGAACACAAAAGGTAAATATTCTTATTTTAGAAAGTAATTTTGTTATTCAGTCTGCGTGGGTGTCAGAGGAGCAGCATGTGGCAATTGACTTTAAGAGGTTCTGCCCACCAGAATGCAGGACACTGATGGGTGAATCTTGAATAGCTGAGGCCCCGAGGGCTTTGGCTCCAGGTTGTCCCTTTCTACTGCTGTGCCTTTACATGTTTGCCGCTGCCATTTTCCTCTGGTATCTGGCATAGTGCGAATGGGTGTGGGAGAAGCCCCACTGCCTTTAATGTAGTGTGGTTATCTCATGGAACTATCCATTCTAGTGGGCGTTTATACCTATGGATTATTATGAAGATGATTTCCTCTTGAGCTGTACTGTTTAACTGAAGCAATGATTTTATACAATAATAGTGTTAGTTTAGATAGAATTTTCATGATTAAGAGTTTTTAATAAATATAGTAAGGGATTATGATAGAGGTTAGTTTAGTGGGAAAATTAATACAGGTAAAGGTAGGATGTAGTGTTGCCCCTGCCCCTGATAAAGCAGGGGGTGCAGAGGATAGAGAATAGTACCAAGGAAGTGCCACACAGCTAGGACCTGGGAGTTCTCTTGAGGAGCCGTATAGAGTGTGGTTTAGGGTAATGATTAAGGAAAACTCCTGAGTCCCAGGAGTTAGCTCAAGTTCTTTTTGATATTGGGAAATGTCTTCACAGGTTTCAGTATGCTTCATAGCTAAAAAAAAACTTTCAATAATTGACTTCATGTAACTAGAAAACAGAACTGGATGGTTAAGATAATTGGATAGGACCCTAAAATATGGAAAGTGAAACTAGTAACCTGTTTTTCTAGCAATTATAAAAACTATTGCCTATGTAAGTGGTTATGGCTGAAAGGCTCCTGAACTATGAGGAGTCTAAAAGATAAATGTTTAACTGTATGTGGGTTCTGGGGGATAATTTGTTTTTCACCTGTAATACGTAAAATGTTTAATCATTTAAGGGCTATGGAAAACATGTTTTTTACTTGTATTCATTATAATCATTCACTTAAAAAATAGAATGTAACTAACATTGTAATTTTTATATTATGTTGTAGGTATTTAGGAGAGTCACTGTATATGGGGTAGATACTAGAATGAACAGCTGTTTTTTAGAAGTACTTTGACCTTGAATTCTTGTGGAAAACAGTGACTGTTTTCCTGAAGGGGCTTTGCAGCCATCATTACTTACCCATAATTGTATGATTTCAACATTGGTATAAGGTACTACAGTCTCAATTGGATCCATTCTTGACAGTTGACAAAAAGAAGAACAGAAAATACAGAATGCCTGTATACATAAATTAGATCTCACAGCTGAATGTATTTTGGTAATTTTACCTTCTACTCATTCCCGTACTGGACTTACTATGCAAAGGGAAGATAACGTTTTAGAATGGATATTTTATCTCATGAACAGTAAAAAGTTAAAAACATATATAGGAAAGGTTTCTGAATTGATTATGAGAGAATAAGACTCCGTCAATCCTTGCGTTCCAGGAGCAGCAGTGCCTGGTGGAAACAGACATCTTGCCACCAGCAGATTGTTTTTCAGAGGTCTTCATTTCTATTTGAAGAATAGACAATGGCAGGGCAAGAGCCGGAGCAAGGTAACTAGGGAATAGCCTTCGGCCATTGTGTGAGAGGCATCGCGACTTGGGTTATAGAGGTGGAGACAAGACAGGAGTTCTTGGTACAAATATGGAAGGATGGGGCGTAATGGAAGCCAGAGTCAGAGAAGTACGAAAAACAATACCATATGTGTGCTGAAAATGGGTATATATCTGCTTACGTATATAGATCTATAAAATGGAGAGGTATTTTATACATGTATATAATATACACATTTCTGTATTATACAGTTACATATGTTTTAGTGCTTTTCTATTTTGCTTTTCCTAGTATGTAATCTTTATTCTAGTATGTCGTAGGCTTTTTTTTTTTTCTTTTCTTTTCTTTTCTTTTTTTGGCCAGAAGGAGATCTGAATGCCAAAGGAGACCATAATGTCCATTTTTGACTTTCAAACAGGACATGCGACAAGAAATAGCAAGATGGGCTTCTTTAGGCCTGTTTACTGCTCCTTAATACTGAGGAACAGACCCGGATGACCTGTCCCATGGAATGTTCCAGATATGTGGGGGAGAAGCTTTTGTCCACTATGAAGGCTTAGCTGGGACCAGGAAGAATGTGGATATAATTATGGGCCACAAGAGAGAAGTATATCACTTTCCTGACCTTGAAGGACTGAGGAAGGAGGAGAACAGAGAACTATGTGTCAGGAAGCTAAGCAGAGTTTCCTAGCAGGAGAGCAGAGAGCATGAAGGCTCCGCTTCCCTTGTCTGGACTCTGGCTTGGAGGGTGCAGGTCTGTGGCTGGAACTCTGAAGAAGGAAATTGCAGACGCTGCTTGTCACTTAACATTTGTAAGAAGCCGCCTCTTACACTGTCCACCACCTCAACCTGAAGAATAGCCAGGACAACAGGACACTGGTGTGGGGCAGAGGTCGGTGTATCAGTCAGCTAGAGATGCAGTAGCAAATGCCACAGCCTGGGTGGCTTAGGTTGGTGGAGTTATTCTCTCACAGTTTTGGAGATCAAGTCCAGGGTCAAGGTGCCAGCTGGTTCGGTGTTTGTGGGTGTTTTCTACGTGGCATGCAAAAGGTCACCTCCTTGCTATATCCTCACACGATGGGGAGAGAGAATGGCCTCCCTGGGGCCTTTGTAGTAAGGACACCTATTCTACCAGTTGGCCTCATAGAACCTTCCTTACCTCCCTAATCCTCCTATCCCCAAACTCGGTCCCATTGGAGGTTAGGATTGAACATACAAATTGGGGAGGTAGTGACACTATTTGGTCCAGAGCAAGAGGGTACCTGCAACATTGTCAGCAGGAGCTGAGGAGCCAAAGGTCTGCAGGAGAGCTGGCTAAAAGAGGCCATAGTACCAGATCTGCCTTCTGCTTAGGATCTGGCACTGGCCATGGTGAATGGCACTTGACAAAGACTTATC